AACATGCCACCCCGGGTAGATGCAGAAGGGACTTCAGTAAATGCAGTATCTGAAGTCAATTTCAAGCATATGGAGTACATCTACCCTACCTACCATAGCATGGAAATATCATATGAGATCACAATACCATAATAGAAATAACATGAAGAATACGAAAAGTGCAACCTCCTACGACCTTGATGCAGGATTAGTTATTTACAACGCATCAACCTACGAAACAATGAGTAGTGCACGACAATTCTACACATGTACGAAGCACAACAAACTAAATCAGAAGCTCTATGAAACACGCCACCGGATACTGCAAACATTCGTACAAAGGTGACAAGAAAGAGCATCTATTCCAAGAATATCCCTCATGTGCACAAGTTTGATACACGTAGGTACCACTAAAAGGGATAAAAACAATTATAAAACCCGCATGCCCCGGGCGGCGAATGTTGATTGTACACACGTGACTCTAGAGATGCTGCGCGGTTGACAAATGAATTCAGGTTCGAAAACCGATCCATTTTATAGGAGTCAATAGAAAGTCGACAGGTTAACCATAACCAAATATTATGTGGCGACCATATAATTTGCCTTAAAATATCACATAGGCCTCAAGCGCCTACAACAATATGAATCACTTAATAAGGAATAAAGCCTATGAGAAACGATCCTCGATGCAACAGCCCGTCGAGTTGACAGGTTCAAATCAACAAATAAGAAATGACACGCACAACACCCCGATTATGCCGTGTGAATGTAAAATCTCAAACGAGGGGTTAAATTTCGGCCATTTTTCCAAATGTCTCCAAAAGTCCATTCACAATACCATAACTCCACAAACTCCAACAAAATTCCAAAACTCCACAAAAATCCCAAAAAACCCAAAAAATCAAAAAATCCAGAAAATCATGAAATCCAAAAAATAATAAAAATATTGAAATCAAACAAGTAAACGCTAAAAGCAAAAAAATCCATTCCACCCCGCAACAATTGTCGGCTGTACAAATCCAAAATTCTACCTCACCTCACAAAGGTCAAATGCCCTAGTCGTCAAACATATCACTAGGATCCATTCTCAAACAATTCTCCCTTCCAGTAAGGACGTGGATATTGTTCCTCTACACCGCAGTCTTCAACGCCAACATGGCAACTAGCATCACGGATAAACCGTTATAAGACCCGGGGGCCCCTCTAACGAGTGTCTGCACGCCAATGCCCAAACCCACAGCATTAGCGTTATGGCCATACAATACGCTCTCTTAATTGCCGTTAAATCCTTGAGATATCGAATCAATAGGATATGATAACGTATAGGCTCACCAAATCCCCTCTGTTAAGCTAAGGTGAATTCACAAATTTTCCCCTTGAGACAAACATCCAACCCAGGTCTACAAGGTCCCCTTGAACGAAGGCAACTCACCGCGCTTCCAGACAATGATCCTTCTGTCAGGTCTGATCGACAGACTACCTCCTCGACTAAGCTAGACCAGGATCACGATGGCCCGGACGAACGGAACCATGGAGTTTGACTCGTCCATCATCCATTCTCCCACCTTCGCTTTTAAGTGTAAAGATGGTGAAATTTCAAGTTTAATAAGTATCAAAACCCTCCAAATTCCCAATTTTCCAAAACCTTTCAAAATTCCAAAACTTCCAAATCCTCATCACTTCTATACCCATTGCCTTCTACATTATCCCAGATAACACGTATCCCTACGATCTTGATCCACGACTAGCCTTAATCGAAAGTCTCTCTCATGATCTGGGAGGGTAATTACTAGTAGGGGCTTGCGCCTATAGGAAACCAAACACTTAGATCATAAATCCTCGTAACAATGAAGATCTATGGCGAACATCTCTGGCGGAGTGTCTTAATCAAAACCATCTGCCTTTCAAAATTTACCTCGAAACTTACTTCAGTTAAAACTCCCTCGCCAAATAAATAGAAATCGCGCGGCGGGCAGCCGGGATTGAATTATCGGAGCCCCACACAAGGTGAAGTTAGATGCATAGCAAAGCAGACAATTTACGGCAGAGATGATTCCCGAAGGAAGCAAAAGATGGACGGACTTAGAGGAGAAGGAGGGTTATACAATGCTTGATAGAACTGTAAAAGAGAGCTAATCACTTCAGCTCTAGTAGTAACAGGCGAGTTAGCAAGCAAATTGCCCACTGAGTTAGAACCTCCTCTTCTAACTCTAATTTTAGCATATAAAAACTTTAAGTCATCCTCACCATGTCTAATCCAATTAACTTTGGCCCTCTGAATGATCCAGGACGCAAGCATATCATTAAATTTAGCCAATTCTACCGTGCTAACTTTAAAAGAATGGTTCAAATCCAAGTTATTAGGATCATCCTGCAGCTCAGTTAACAGAGCAGATTGCTTAGCATTCAAAACATCCAGATGCTTAGAGATACAAGAAGAGGAGGCCCGTACCTCACTCTTAACCCCATTTTTGAGCAGCTTCAAAATATTTCTAAGATGAGAAATAGGATTCCCATGGCAAGGCTTAGAAAAAGCCTCCAAAAGAATAGCCCAAAATTTGTCAAAATTGATCTAGAAATTTTTGAAAAGAAAACGATGATGCAACTGAACAGAAATACCAGGATTCAGAATGATGGCGAAATGGTTCGAGCAAGAGGGACTCTAAATGGCACAGTAAGACTCCGTGAAAGAATTCAGCCACCCCTCATTCACTAATACACGGTCAAGCTTAATATGAATGGGATTAGTAGTGCGCTGATTAAACCATGTAAACTTAAAACCAACAGAATTTAAATCCACCAATCTGTTACCGAAAATCATATTGTTAAAATCAGACAAAGCAGAATGTTTAAGAACAGTCCCTCTAGATTTTTCATAAGCATATCGACAACAATTGAAATCCCCATTTAATGCCCAAGGGATATCGTTGGGAGGAGCTAATTGAGCCAGAGAGTCCCATAACTCCTTACGATCAAGAGCATTGTTAGAAGCATAAATAGCAGATAGTTGAAGTAAAGGTTGATTGGCAACCCAAATTGGGAGGCATCCCACTTTACCTAGATATAACCTGCTCCGAGATGAATGAAGGCTTGAAGCTTAGTTTGGAGGCATCCCACTTTACCCAGATCCGTCTAGAGGATCTGGAGTAATCAAATTTATTGAATGTTGCTAAGAAACCCTTTTTTTTTGTGTAATATTATGCTGGTATCTTGTAGTTGCTTAAATAGCATTCCTAATTAGAAAAAAATATATAAATAAATAAAAGTAAAAAGGGAAATTAGGCATTACAGTATTACACACAATTTTTTTTAAAAAATTTTATTTAGGTGTAGTATATCATTATACTTAGCAACATTCAATAAATTTGATAGAATTGAATATTATGGCCCATACAAAAAAATATACATTTATAATATAATGCATATAATGATAGCCAGACATAATAAAATAAATGATACAATGCATCACATAATGACGCAACAAAATCTTAACCACACTCTAATATAGATTAAAATCATATAAAGTTGTGTGTATCAAAACATTTTTTATGTGCATTATATTGCATGTATGTGTGGCCATTTTTATATGATTGCAACAAGGCTTCCAAAACTAGTCTACCTATCAAAATCAAATAAGCTAAGTTCTTGTCATCTCAACCTACTAATTTTAAAAATATGATTTATATAATAATATTATTTTTTTATTTTTAAATTATATTTGAAATTTGCTTGATTTGAATAAAATTTATCTCATACATGCATTATATTGCATGTATGAGGGGCCATTTTTATATTTGTATTTTCAATTTGAAGTATAATCATTAAAAATAGTTGACCTCAACTATAATCCTCTGACTACTATCACCTGAACACAATCTATTGACCCAACATCACCTAGCTATAGTTCTCCTATCAACATTGCCCGACTACGATCCTCCGATAAAAATTGTCTTACTATGATCCTCCAACTATTGTTGCCCTACTACACTAACTCCTACTGACTTTATTGCCCACCATTACCAATAATCTCAATGCATGTTATCACTTATAAGATTGATGCATATTGTTAACATCAATGGACATCGTCGATATAATTGTTAAGCACGCAATCACCAACATTACCAACGCATGCCATCGTCTATAAGATTGACCCACATAGTTGTCACAAGGCCAACACTTGTCGACTTTGTCATCACCAATATTGACACACACTACTGCTTATAAGGTCAATGCACAACATCGACATCAACTCAAAATCCGAACATCAACACCAATTTTTATGTCGAACCTCTTGGTCTAAGATTTTCTTTATTCAAAGAAGAACAATCAAACATATGACAATTTATTTTTCTAAAGAAAACTCTAATACCTTAAGGCTATTTAAATTTCCCCTTTGGAATTAATTCCTTACATTTAACGTCTACTAGATTGTATCAATACCTTACCCAATCATAAGAAAGGGCATAATTTGTAATCAACCACAAACATCAGTGAAATTATTTTAACGAGGCTAAGCCCCATGTTTTTTTATCTTTTCAAAATTTTCATGTACAAATTTTGATGTCTATAGCATATCCCCTTTTATTTGGGCTAGAATGTTAAAATATTAAACCATCTCTCTTTCTCTATCATCATAAATTTTCTTACACACAACAATCACATATAATTATATTTCATTAGTGCCTATTTTGATGAGAACTATATATAACTTTCTTACTTACTTTAAAAAAGCTATTTTTTTAGAAGAAAAAAAGAAAACTAAAACTTGATTATTGACACCATATCAAGGCATGAAATAAAAAAAAGTTTTCACAAACGGAAGAGTTAGATATGGCAAAAAATTTGGCCGAATTGCTTTTGGCTCTGAATCGGAATAGAAAATCAATCAGTTACAACTAGGGGTGTAAACGAGTCGAGTCGAGTCAAGTATTTGCCTTATCAAGCCTGGCTTGTTTAATCCTTAATGAGCTCGAGCTCGATTAGTGGGCACGAGATCGACTCGTTTAAAAAATATCAAGCTCGAGCTCGAGATCGAGCTCGTTTGAGAAGCACCAATGCATGTGATGCATATTATTATATATAAAAAATATCATTATAAATATTTTTTAAACGAGTCGATCTCAAGCCCACTTATTGTAAGTTACAACCTTCTCTTTTGTACATGGAACCCCCTTTTGAGGGTATAATTTTTGGAGTTATTCGTCCAAAAAAAAAAGCTTTCACAAAACCTCTAATTCATGCCAATAAAGTAGAATTAAATAGATGGCCAAGATACATCATATGAGCACTATGATAAAGCTAAATTAAACTTGATAATCTGTTGGTGTGACTTCCTTATCTTCCTCACATTCTTTTGTGCTTTCTTTTGAGGATTGGCATTTGTTCTCTTCTTTGCTCTTACCCCATAGGACGCTATAAAGCCCTCCAACCATCAATATTCCTCCTAAAACACTGCAAATAATAGATGATTTAGGAACATAATCAATAGAATAAAATTCTGTCAATAAAAAACAGACATTATACAATTACAATATTAACAATAAATATAATTGTTATCACTGGAAGACACTAATCATCATACTTTGCTAGATAGTTGGGGGTTGTTTCGTAAGTATTAGGAGTGTATTGTATTTTTTTTCTTGTATTTTTTTTTGTGTTTATTTGAATCAAATGATGGTTTTGTTTGGGACAGCTTTTAGCCACTATTTTTTACTCTTTTAAGAAAATTTTTAAATAAAAAGCTATTTTAGAAAACAGTAAGAAAACTATACCAAACGAAGCTGAAGTATAAAGTAAAATACCATAAAACTTTTATTTTCCATGCTTTTGAAAATCATCTGAATTGAACAGATTTCGTATCTCACATTGCGGCCACTTACATTTCTGGTCTGTCATAGCCTACGGCCGCCCGCTGCTACGGCTAGCCACCGCTGGGTGCTAGTTGTTTGCCCACCATATTGCAATTATTTGAAATATATCTAACAAACTCTCTCTCTCTCTCTATATATATTTCAATGCATTTGATTTGCATTCAACTAAACATTTTGGTGATAAATTAATTTGCACATAATATTAAAGCTAGTAATAAATAAAATTTCAACAATGTTCATCATATAATCAAAAACATGTTACTTCATGTATAATCCTGAGGGTTTTTATAGAGTTATTTGAATAAATATGGCTCTAGGAATCATAACAAAATATTTGCATACCTCCCCAAAGGAATCTCCTCCCCTAATAAGAATGATGAGCAGAGCATGGTGAAAGCTAAAGACAATGGAGTGGACATTGCAAGGAATACAGGGCCTCTCTTGTCTATGCACCAAGATTGCAAGTAAAAGGAGACACCAGTAACAATAAATCCCTGCATATTCACAATCATAAAATTACATATATATTTTTTTCAAATTAGTTGAATAAGTATCTTTTGCATATAATTTACAATTATATTTACTTAAATCTTTTTTTCTGAAAACAAACACCTTCCTCTAAAAGGTCTTAATAACACTGAGCATGACTTCATATGGGACGGCTTTCTTAATGCTTTATAAAGCAGTATTTTAGTATAAAAATTTCTAGTTCAAGAAATTTTTGTACTAAAAAGCTACTTTAAAAACCAGTAAAAAAAGTCGTCCCAACCGAAGCCTACCTGCGATACAATGATTAATTTTCAGTGATTAGTTTCAACCCCGATATGAAACTTTAAAGCTCTTACACAATAAGCAATGGCAAGCAATCCCATGTCCAACCTCAACTTCCAGCGTGAGATGTCTCTCTCAAATGCTAGAGCAACAAGAAATGACTGTATTGCACTGAAAACACTTTCTATGGCCGTGAATTGAAGCTTTGAAGGGTACTCTTTCAATAACCACCCCTGTAAATATAAATTTATTATGAATTGACAAACTTTGATTCTTAAAAAAACAGAAATATTGAAGGAGAAATGATCTGAATAATCATGCTTAATTACCTGAAGGACAATCCAAAATGACCAAGCTGAGTTGGCTGTAATTAAGAGAAGAGTTCCTTTAATCCAATTCTCCTTAGAGTGTAGAGAGCCATCACTTGCATTATTTTTGTGGCCAAAGGGATGATACTTGATCAAAGGCTTTAAGTGAGGCCCAGTGTATAGGGCAATAGTTATAACTCCAGCCAAGCATATTCCTACCCCTAGGATCTTTGATATCCCTGGAAGGCTCCTAAGCTTCAGAGTTTCCATCCTGCAATTGAAGTTATTTAAAAAAAAAGAGAGATTAAGCTCTATTTGGTCGTTTGTAATTAGAAAACAAGTCATAAAAATTGATAAATTTTGGTAGATTTCACCATTTAATTGGATATATTAGAAATCAGCATAGATTTTAGCTTCAAAAATCCTTAAAACTGAATGATTTTGTTGTCAAGAACAAAAGGAGTGAAAAAAGAATCATAACCAAAAACATGAAAATTACCTTCAATCAAACAATGGATTTGTAATTTTGAATTCATTATAAAGTTGCTTCAAAGTTCAAACCAAACATATTTAATTGGTTTTAAAATTATAGCATTTAAACAAAAAAAAAAGATTTATAAATCATGAAAATTTGATTTGCATCACATCAAGTGAGCGCTTAGCTTGAAGAGAGAATTTTGGACCATGAAATCACATCAAAGCATATATCTTCTGTTTTCATTGAAGTAGAAGAAATGAATAATGAATACCTAATCCAAGATAAGATAAGTTGTGGTGGGCTCAAAATCAACTCCTTGGCTAGGATACTCTTTACTTTCAAAAGAAGAATGTTTATTCTCTACCCAACATTTCTCCACTTTTCTCTTTTGCAATGCAACCTTTGTCATGGAATTTAATACGATTTGAGCAATCTTCACATCATATCTTGAAAAGTAAACGATTGTGATTTGTTGAATGTTGACTTATCAGTTACATAATAATCACTCGCATATGAAAAATTGTCAGTGACAGTAAAAAGTTTATAGAAAATAAATCTTTGTCAAACAAGTTTTTACGACAAAAGTATTGTCGTTAAAGTGATTCACTTATTGCAGATAATTTTTTTTTTCAAGATAAAAGTTGATTCACCACCAATAGTTTTGTTACAGATGTTTCATAGATTAAAATGATGCATATTCTTCAGAGATTACAGACATAAAATATCACAAAAGCACAAATAATAAACTACATAAGGCTGTTCTGGTATCGTTTGAGGAGGACATACCCCATTAGTAATGCTAAAAAGAAGGTGATCACAGGAACTGAGTTTGTCACCGCAGAGCCTACTGTTGCTGAAGTATATTTCAGGCCGCCATTGTAAACGTTTAAGCTGAAAGTTATTCTAAGAAACATAAAAGACATAAAAACTTTGGTAAGTATATAAAAAAGATAATAATGAACAACTTGATTTCATCTGAGGATTAGTCATACCCAATCAACGCATGCAGGAATATCTTCAACGAGAGGCAAAATGAAAGCCGTGAGATGGATTTCCTAATCATCACTATCAACATCATTAGTGTACTTGAAAGCTGCTTTAAGAAGCAGGAAGAAAGCTAACCCAGACGAAACCTTAATGGGTAAGTAATATTAGTAGAACAAGAACCAAATAATTTATTTATACCTTTCAAAAATGATAGTTAGGGGAACAAGCAAGGTTGTTGAGGCCAATTGGCGGTAGAAAATGAAGATGAATGTGCTCAATCCTTCATCCAACGCAGCCTTTGAGATAACGTACAATCCAGTGTAGATCAATTGGATGACAATGATAGAAACGTAGGGTTTCTTATCTCCCATGGTAGAATGCCAAGTTATTCTATCTTCTACATGATGAAGAGAGATTTTGGAAAATGATAAGTGATCAAAGTGGGGTCTTTATACATAATATGCAAAGCCAAATTATAAAAAAGTGCGTGTTTTAAACTAAAATAAGTTTAAGGAGTAGGCTTACGGAATAATTTAAAAAGGAGCAAATACGAAAAATCAAATCTGCATTAGAGAGAAAGCAGAAAATTAAATTACGCAATAAAAAATGCAGAAAATTATTTTGAAACTGGAAAACAGTATTCTGTAAGCCTGCTCCTTTTTAAATAGGTTTATTGAGGCTTCTTTTGAGTTTCATTCTTTATATATATTTAAAATAATATATTTTTTTATATATAATGAATTTATATTAGTAAGCCCCTGCTATTTGATGTTTTTAATAGTAAACTTTCAATTCGTATTTTCTCCAAATAATAAAAATAATATACGTGCCTCATTAAGAAAAGTTTCTTGCTCTGTTATTAGAAAAACAGCTTTTGTTTGGTTAAAATATTTTAATAAATTTTCTTTGCTATTTTTTTTAATTCTTATTAAAAAATTTGATAGTAGAAAAATATAATGCAATTGTGATAGAAAAAAATATTTTTAAAAGAATCTAACGGCAAAAATAGAAACATATAAGCCAAAGCTGTCCCAAAAGAGAGAAATTATTATGTACAGTCATCGGATAGTCTAAAGGCGAATCAGGATGCGCCACATCACCCAGTACACAACAAAATAGTGACGTGGCGCATCCTAATTCTTCCCTGGAATTAGGTAACAATGCAATCATTTCACTAAGGTTTTGTTTGGGATGACTTTCTTACTGCTTTAAAGCAGTTTTCTAGTATAAAATTTTAATTTTTTTACTAAAAAGCTGATTTAAGAAGCATTAAAAAAGTTGTCCCAACTGAAACCTAGATCTTGTTTGAAATGCTTCGATCAATCTTTCTAAACTGTTTGATCTTGTTGTCTTTCTTTTATCTCAAAGAAACGATGAGAATTAGGCATTAAGCATTGCAACTACAATAAACATTTATTTTTAGCATGACTTTGTCTTTGCATGCTCTCGTGGGTCAGAAGTTACTACAACTAAAACTGATGAAATTGATTAGGCAAATTGATGACCGAAAACCAGCGTTCTAAATCCAAACCGCATAAAACAGAGTTCATTCATTTTATGCAAATTTATGATCAAAAGAGTGCAAACATCACAGAAAACCATAAGTGCTACCAAAGAAATCAATGGAGGTAAATTTACAATCAAAAGCTTGCAATAAGCACAAGAAAATAGAAACCTGGGGGAGTACTGGTGCAACTGTAAACTCTGAGGATTAAGACAAAGGAGGAAGAGACGGCGGCGAAGCTCACCTTCTCCGGCGAGGTTTCTCACTTGATAACGCTAAAACAGATTGCTTGAAGGTTTTCCAAACGAGAAGGGAAAGGGTTGCCTGGACGTTCAGTTAGTGTCTTTTTTTTTTTGTTAGCATGAAAGGCTATCTTTTTATGGTGTTCCCAATATAAGAAAGGCAAACGGCAGAGCAATTAGTTTTGCTCTCAGTAGGGAGAAGCCTATTTGAGGCTGGATCCCTCGATTCATAAAAAAAAAACATAAACAGCCTAAATTTATAAAGGGAAAAGTTAGGGAAAAAAGAGAAATTATTGATTGATAATTTTTTTTAAGCAAAAAAGATATTCTTTTGATATTAGAGATGATGATATTCTTGATATTAGAGATGATGATATTCTTCACATATTTTGTAATAATCTATGGAATACTCATCTGTTTAGCTTGGTTAGTGGGCGAGTATGGTTGGGAATCTTAACCGGTGCTCGATTCCACTCGAGCGGCAACGTCTCTTAAGTGAGGCCCAATCAAGTTCAGGACAAGAGATGTATGGGGTAGGTGTCTCTTCTAGGTCAGTCTAGAATTAGTAACACCATCAAGCTCCTTTTCGGGGGTGGTAATGGGTGGATGCCTCGATCCAAAAAAAAAAAACAATCTATGGAATAATTTCCTTTTAACTCTATTTGATAGAGTGTATTATAGCAGTTTTGTATTTAAAATTAAGGATTTTTAAAAATTTAAGTATTTGATTGAGAATAAAGATAATTTCAATGATTTATTAAAGTTTTTTTTTTAATATCTTTAACTATTAATTTTTTTTAGGAATTTGAAATTCAAGTAAATTTAACAAATTTGTAATCTTTGCATTTTCACTCCAACCAATGCCATGAAGATTTACGTAGTTGTCTTCAAGAACACCATTGATTCTTTCAAGCTAAGACTTCGTTTGGAGAGGCTTTTTTGCTATTTCTTAAAACACATTTTTAGTACAATTTTTTTTTTTATACGAAAAAACTGTTTTAAGAAATAGTTAGAAAGTTATTCCAAACAAATCCTAAGGCTTTATTTGTGATCACGACTTTTTTATTATTTTTAAAAATAACTTTTTAGTATAAAAGTTGTCCCAAATGAAGCTAAATGAATTTTGACAACTTTGTGAATGCCCTCAACTCTCACGTTGCACTGAGCTCGCGCCTCCACATTTATGAATGACACCAACTGTTCATGTTTTATCATCATTTGATCACCACCTTGAATTGTGGCCAACGATACTAACAGCATTGATTAAGATTGGAACTGTGGACCTTACATTGCCTTATCTTAATTTTTGTAAAAGTTTGAATATATATATATATATATATACTGATGAATACTAGGGGTATCAATATTTGATACGACACGAAAATCCGACCCGGACCGACCCGAAAAATCCGGGTTAGACCCGATCCGATTTCAAAACAGGTTGGGTTCGGGTTCCAGAAATCGACCAGTTTGAAAAACGGGTCGGGTTCGGGTTGACTTGACGGGTTGCCAGGTCAACCCGCGAACCCATTTTAGCCTAACCTGCGGACCTGCCTGCCCCGCTGTCGCGCGACCACGCCCCGTTGCCGCACGACCCCGCTCGACCCTGCCCCGCTCCGGTGCGCAAACCCGCCCGCACTCGCGCCAACACGGACCCCGCCCGCACTCGCCCACAGCGACCCCACCCGCACTCGCCCGCCGACCCCGCTGCAGCGCGACCCTGCTCGGGTGTGTTAGGGTCGACCCGTTTGAACCCGGGTTATTCCGGGCCCTACCCGAACCCGACCCGTGACCGAAATTGATACCCCTAATGAATACATCGAATATATTTTACAAACAACAAAATAATTATAAATATTTTAAACCTATTGTATTTACTTTATGCTACATTTAAAATACACATATATTCTAGGATATTTGCAAACAAAACCAAGATATTTTGTTATTTTATTTTATATATTTTATGTTTGTAAATTAAAATAATAATAATAATATAAAAATTATGTCAGAGTATGCTGAACAAATTTAATAAAAAAAAAAATCAATGACTTTAGATTCATTTTTATTAAATTGATAATTTCAAATCTAAAAATATTCAATTAAAGGTATAAATTATGTCCATAAATCATAATAACCAATCTTGTGTTCAATTTTTTTGATTAAATAATTATAAAAGGGTTTCCTATTATTATTATTATTATTTTGTTTGTTATAGTTTTCTTACTATTTTCTAAAGCAGCTTTCAAGTACCAAAAATTCTTAAACTTAACGTAAAAAATAGCGACAAAAAATTGTCTCAAAGTAAACCTATACTTTTTGAGGATTCCGTATTGGTTCGACTTTTTATTTTTTGACTTTCATTAATTTTTGGTTAATATTTCTATTTTATTTTTGTAAAATCAATCCAGCATAAAATTAAATTATACTAATTTTTATAAAATATAAAAAAATTTCATAAACTATAAATAAACAAGTAACACAAATTTTAACATGAATGTTTTTATTTCCTAAATAAAGTTTTTAATTTTAGCAAAGATTAACTTGATATTTTTTTAATATAAAAATAACTGGGTTTATATTTAAAATTAATTATATTTTGTTTCATCCATAATTGAATCAAACAAATAATTGATTCGATTTAATTCAATTTTGAAAATAATTGGTTGATTTAATTTTTAGAATTTTATAGTCAAACTTAACAATTTTTTTAAATTTTCATTTTAATTTATATTTTAAATATTAAACACATATGATAAAAATAGAAAAAAAAATTCTATCAAAATGTAAATAAACAAAAAATTATTCCTAACTGCCCTATGATTTTTAAAATTATTTTTATAAGATATTTATGTTTATTCCAGCATACATTTATAAATAATATTATTTTGAAAAAAATATAAATATATATGGTTTTTTTTTTTTTTTGGAAAATTAAGGGCCACGCCCAACAGACTATATATATATTATATATATTATATATATATATTATAATATAATATATATATTAAAAAGATAAAATCATTAAAAAAAAATATACATAAACTTACATTAGATATCCCAAAAAAAAGGGAAAAATATAAGAGAGAGTGAATGTCATCATCAACCCCCATCTCTCTTTGTCTTTCTCTCCCTCTCTCTTTGCCTCTCTCTTTTGTCGCACATCAACGGCTATTATATCAATTTATCATTAATTCACAGTATAGTCCACATTAGATCAACATCAAGAACGCAATATGAGTGAAGTCTTATTTTACTTTCATCTTTTTGCATAAATATGAGAGAAGAAATAAAAAAAATAATATTATTGTATTGTTACAACAACGACGACAATGTTAAGCCTTTATCCTACTACATATATAAGATCAATTATATGATTTATTTTTCTTCATTGTGTTCAATTAAGTATAGGGATGTCGATTTGGATCAACTGGGTCGGATTTGGGTCCAACCCGAATTGACCCAGACATAAAAGGGTTGACTTGAATCCGACCCAACCCTCAAGCCCGTAATAGGGTTTAGGATATGTGTAGCGCAAGTGAGGGACTTGCGATTTTTTCGAGCACGAGTCAGCGATAGCGGTAGTCAGTAAGTGCACTAGTGCGGTAGTGCTGGGTGCGTCTAGCCCTAGATGTCGAGGTCGATTAGTCGAGCATGAGTGTCGTCCGATGCGAGTGCATGGCTTACAGTTCCGTCGAGTACGTGTCAGGGTCTATCGATCTGGGCTAGGCGGATAGGGGCGTGCACGACATTCGATGACAGCTGCAACAACACAGTTTCAGCAGGCCTGACATGTCAATTCGGGTCAAACCCGGGTTGCTAGGTTGACCCGAACTTGATCCCCCAAACTGTAATTGTGTCCAAAAATAGGACCCGAATTTGACCCGTTTCTTTATCGGCTTGACCAAAACCTTCATTTTTTGGGTCGGGTTCGGATCGGATTTTTGGGTAGTGTCAAATATTGACACCCTTACTATTAAGCATCAAATTCTTATTTTAATCAAATAAAATTTCAATCCAAATCTTTTTTTGTCTATCTCTATCTTTTGTAACATAGATTGAATCTAATACATTTACTCTCGTAACCGACCAATCATCGAAAGATTGATATTTTATGTGACTAAATTATTTAAGACAAATCTCTCTAATCTTATATGTGTGGCAGCTCTACTATTGCTGTCATGATTAATTATATTGTAGCAAATTAATATTTTTACTCTCATATGAATGACCTGCTACATATTTTTTGTATCATAATATCTTAAAAACCACACAAGAACTAAAAAAAAGTCAAATTATTCATCTATTTTCAAAATTAACAGTCATATTATTTTTAACTATTAAATTCATATATTTGTATATGCCATGATATATTATTAAAAATTTAATAAAAGTAAAAAATATATGTTGAAATTTTATTGCAAATTTTGATATTTTGATGATAATATGAGATATAAATGTAATAGAATGTTAGTTTTATTAATAGTAAAATTTTAGATGTTATATGTGTAATTGTCTCTTTTTTATTTCAGAATATATTTTTCTAAGTAAAATGGATAAACATTTACTTTTAAGTTTATATTTTAGAGCGCTGTTTTTTTTTTGGAAAATTGGGGGTCAAAGCCCGTATATTGAATCACAAGGGGGTTATAATATAAAAAAAAAACAGAGGAAATTACAAGTATAAAAAACAATTATACCTCCCAAAAGGAATCTAAAAAGAAAAAGAAATCAAGCAAGAAAAACAAGGACTCAGGTAAATAAGGTCTACATCAAAACATCATTGCACTGATCAGTGTGATAAGCCAACAAATCCAGCAGAAAGAGGGCACAGGTTGCTCGTAGCCATAGAGAATGGCTAAAACCGGCCATCACAGTACCCCCGAGAGAAGTCATCAAGGTAGATCCTGGTTGCCAAAAAGACCATCCAAGGATACTTGAAATATGTAGACCTTTGCTCATCATCGTCCCAGAGTGCTGTGACAAATGGACCAATTATTCTTATATTATATATTAATTAATGATAATATTCTTATTTTATCATTTAACTTATTCGCATTATTGATTATATTTTTTAATTGCCAAATTGGTCCAAAGTGCTGTGACAAAAGGACCAATTTGACAATTAAAAAAATATAACCAATAATGGTAATAAGTTAAATGATAAAATAAGAATATTATCATTAATTAATATATAATGTTATCTAATGGTTTGAAA